ATTTCTATAGAAATTATATGTATTTTTTTCTCAGTTATTAATATTTTAGATATAGCTGTAAATATAAACGTGTTTTACGCAATGGTCACTAGCCATTGTCAGTCGATTTCAGGAAAATGGTACGTAAAAAATTAGAGTGTGAAAGATGTGTGCTAAGCTCGGGTGTCGGAGGCGTCCCGGGATGTCCTCTCTAGTTTAGGTCTGCGCCCGAGTGGTGTGTATGAGAACCGTGGAGTGAGTGTGTTGGCGTGCCTGTTTTGCCATTTTTTAAATATAGAACGATTGATAGGTAGGATAGGTAGCATACTTTCTGGTGTGAATGTGTTTAATTATAAGTAGGTAGGGCCGGACAGGTTGGCACAGTCTCTGGTCGCGTGTTCCCCTTTCGCGTGTCCAACCTGTTTCAGGAAATCCAATTTGAAAAATCGACAGTAAAATTGGTACAAATTGAGCAAGCCATTTGTTTCTGGTTTTACTCTTCGATTTTTCGAATTTAGTATTGCGGTCGCGGTCGTGGATAGGTCGCGAGTAGGTCCCGAAACGAACGTTTATGCAGGTATTGCTCGAGCACGCACGTGCGAACGAACAACGATCACTATGATCGATGATCGTCCATGTGTATTGGAGTCAGCTTCCGCGGTTTATCTTTTCATTTCACCTTTATAAGTTATTTTTTGGTTTGCGATTAGAAAGACTCGAGCCTAGATTTAAGTTTCAGCGGGCATCGCGCCCGAAGAAAAGAAGAGGCCCGGCAAACTGCCATGAAGAGGGTCGCAACAAATGGGTTCTCATCCTCTGGATCATTTAAATGATTCCAGAGCATGGGAGGTCATTCTCGTTACTACTTTGTCACTATGCTCTTTCAATATTTGTAGTTGTATTTTTTTTTCTTCTCCATCATCATTTATCTTCTTTTTGGGCAAATCGCGTTTTTTCTTGTTAGTGTTGCGAGAGATTGATTACGGTTTAAAGTAGAGCTGCGAATAAATGATAATCGTGTTTGCTTTAGAGTCGCGAATTATGACACTGCGATTGTCTTTTGCAATTTTGATTTGAATTTTTATAGTTGTTTACTGTACATAATGAAATTTATCATGCTTTCTATTGTTTCAAATTAAATTATATTGCTTAATTAATTTTAGAGTCTTAGAATATTTGAAATAGCTTTTTGTTCAATTTTGTATTGTTCATAGTGTTGCGATATTACATCGCGATTTCCAATTAATTTTACTCTTACTTAGTATTGTTCCAATTAGTGTTGCGATAATTAATGATCGCGTTTCTTGATGTAGTGTTGCGTTTACAAAATTCTTGCCTAAATTCTTCCATTGAATTAGTGGACAGCTGTTCTTACTTCTAGATCACCTGGATTACAGCTACAAGAGCTGTACAGAGGTTGTCATTCATCAGCAACCTCCAGCATGGTTGCACTGGACGCGTCGCAATTAGTGTTGCGCATTTTTAAACATGAGTGCATAGATTAAGAGCATCGCGTATTTATTTTCGGGAGTTTTAAATATGACGAAGCACTCTTCGCGTTTGATTTTGAAAATTACCTATTTCATAATTAGTGTTGCGAAAAGAAGACACGGTTTGTTGCTCGTGTTTGGAATGTAGATAATTGTACAATAGCCCTTCTGGTTATTGTATTGTTGACTAGAAATGCTTGTTTTTTTACTAGCCCTTTTGGCTATTTTGTCGTGATTTCCTTTTCAGTAGCCCTGACTATTATTTTAGATTTTTTTTATCAGTAGTCTTGGTTACTATGTTAGGTTTTCTTTTTCAGCACCCCTTACACCCCCGTTTGTTACTGAAAATACTGCTAAAAGATATATATTTTTTTTATTAACTGTTATTTATATAAAATGAAGTAAGAAAAATATTGCAACATTTTTGTATTTTAATGTTACAATGGAAATTTGGAATTCTTTTTGCAAAATAAATAAAACGATAGTACTTTCTAGAGTACTAACTCATTTTAATTCAATTCAAATATGAATTAATATCCAATTTATCGTTAACGGTAATAATGATTGTTCTTATCATTTTTTTTACTTTTCTCTATTTTAAATGTTTCAACAATAAATTCGAATTTGATATGCATAAATCAACATTTTTTTTGTGTGGTGTTTATTTCTAACAAAAATCTTGCAGTAAACACATTTTGTGTAATTTCTATTCTTCATGCTAAATAATAAGTAATAATTGAAAGACAAATCATATGATTTTAATCAAATCTTCTCTCATCTTTGTATCTATGTAAAGTTTCAGTTTTTGATTTATTCAGTCTAATTTAGATTCAATCACGAGAGATTCTTTCTTTCCATTTTTATAATTTTGAGTCAAAAAATGATTTCATTCAATTAGTAAAGTATAATTATAAAGTAATATCTTGACAACAACCTGATTTTTTTTTGTATGTAATATGTTTTCTTTGCAGTTTTTTTTTTGTCCTTTTATAATATTGTATTATAATACTAATCCAATACATAAATTTGTTTCAGATTTATTAATTTATAGAGAGTATTAGTTACAGAAAGTATAGAGGTACGTACATTGAAAGTTTAGAAAGATGGAATATGAATCAAAGAAAGTAACCAACAGAAAAAAACTATTTCAATAAATTGATGTTTCTTTCATTTGCAAATAATAGTTATATTTTATAGATTTTATTAATCGTTTTCAGAGATTTGTTTTAAATACAGATTATGGAATCAATGGAAGATTTTTCAACAGGATGGCAAATCACCAAAAGAAGACATTCGTGTAACATTCACTTCATTTCTTTTGAATTAAATTTATGTATTTGTATAAAAATCATTTTTTGTGGTGATATTAGACTAAGTTAATTTCTGACCAAACTTATACCTTCGTTTCTGTATTTTTATAAATTGTAAAAGTAGAAATTTTCACAAATTGATTAACTTTCGAGCACAAACAAACTTTATCTGTGATTCAACAAAATATTTTATCAATTGAACATATTTCAAGGAAGCTTCATTATCTACCATTAATAATTTACTATAAATTTCTTTAATTTTATTTAATTGTTGTAAATTAAATGCTTTAGTTCAATTGCTTAACTTATGCTTTAGTTTTTGTATTCATTTTACAAGAGAAATTTTAGAAATTTTTAAAATTGATAAATAATCAAGGAACTTTTATCGACTAAAGGTATCGAGGAATTTTTTATTGTGTTGATAATTTATTACGTAAGTTAATGAAAATACTTTTTTACCATTGACTAATTAGGATAGATCGGACCTCGTAGACAAAATATTAAGCTTAGTTGAAGCTGACAGTACGTTGACCTATTTTACTTGCTGATATTTGACCGTACTTTAACTTTACTATTTGCAAGTAATAAATAATTACGATGAATTTATAAAGGATAGATACATACATAAATACATAATGTAAATAAAATAGTTTTAAATACTAATTTCATGTTTCAGTAATACCAGTTTGTATTACTTAATATAGTTCTTCAATTCACCGTTGTTTAAGCATAGAGTGTGCTAAAAACAGTGATTTTTTTTTCCTGGTCGGTATTTCAGACCGTGAGATCCCAATCAATTTAATATCCAATGTATCCTATTTTTAGTCAATGTTTTTACTTATTTCGTTATTATATCAAAAATTCTTGAAATAACATATTTTCACTTACAGATATTTTCAATTCTACCGGTTTGTTATCGATAATTTCGAAACGAGCAACTCGAAATCGAGGTTTTATGACGAAAGATGGCACCACACCACGTCCTGTGAGTTTCACGCTCCATCTCGTTCTCCTTTTGGAGCTGAATACCTCGAAATATTCTGTATTCTAGTAAACATTAATTTATTTCATCATTATTTCTTATATCGCTATTATAATTAAATATCAGATTAAATTTAATAAATTATATTATAATAAATTAAATTAAATTTTATAATATATTTAAATAATTATTGTTTAATTATGTAATTAGACTGAAAATGTTTATACATTTTGTATAAATTTTTGTCATTTATTGTTCTATGTTGAATGTTTGATATGATAATCTATTTTAATGAATAAATTCAATGAAACGTAATATTGTTGGATATAATCTAATTAAAAAGTCCTTAGATATATCGATAAATATTTATATGAATTTAGTTACAATCGTGGAAGAAACTCTATTAACCTTACAATTATCAATTTCCACAATTAAAAGTTTTTTCTCATCGTTGCAATGTAATTAGTTCTTGGGCCATGGTTGAATTAGATTTGACTTAATGGTATTATTTTTACCTTTACTTAACTTTACTTAATTTTTACCTTTTATTTTTATTATTCTCTTTCTTTTGGTTCTGTACTTATCTATCCAAAAGCAAAATAAGATTTTTCTTTCATTCAGCATTTTAGTTTTTTAAATTATCCTACTATGTAACATATGGTTATTTAGCATATAATAATAATTATTGTATGTATACATATGTGTGTATAATATAAATATATTATTTTCCCTTCAATTATTAATTGAATTGAAAAAAAAGAAAGAAACACGAAGATCAAAAAAATAGTTTTTAAGGAGAATCAATAAGTAAAGAAACTGAATTATCAGAAAAAGATAGTTATCACTAGACTATGGGTTTTATCGAAAATTTATTGCACAATACACAAAATACGATACCTTCTCGATTACAATTTTTAGCAAGTGAAATAAATCTCTATTTAAAATAATGCGCATATGACGAACATATAGTATTTGAATAAATAAATAATTACTTACAGAAGGAGAAATTTTCGTCCGATTGCGATAGATGTTTAGGATAGGAATTCGTGAAGATTAATTGAAAAAAATTACGATGTCTCGCGGCACGAAGACACAGTCTTACAAAATCTGTCGATGCGCGAGTAAATGGCGACGCCAATACCTAATTCCACGCGTAAAGAAGCCTGGTCCGCCATTTGGCATCGGATCAAAACGCGACGCATACATTGGATTACACCCAAAATTCTATACCAGCTATACAGAGTCGCCAGCAGTAGGATCGTACGATCCCATGGTTCCTAAATGCAAGTTCAACATTACTAAGTAGCTACATTTTCAAATAACATTATCAGGAATTAACACGTTCGCTGTTAGCTTTCTCTTAATTAGCGTATTCTATTAACCCGGGATTACCCACCTGGGGGTCTAACGCAGGTACATCCCGGCGACTAGATCCTTACGTGGGTAATCCCGGATTAAAAAGTATAAATAAATTTCAGATATTTGCTGTTTATATCTAAAGTATAATACATTGTAAATATTACTAAATACATCTCGTAATTATTCGAACGATTTCAGTAAATAAATTAAATAATTTAGATTTGAGATGGATTTAACTAATTGAATCTGTGATGACGAACTAAAGAAAGTTTTAAAGATAAATGGTAAGAAAATACAATGATATTATATTATATTATGTAATTGTATTAATTATGAATAGAATTGTATTTGGCAATAGACAAATATAATATTTATTTGTCAAATTATATTAATGATATCTTTATTATCTTGTACATCTCTGCATATAATCTTAATTTAATTTAAAAATAAAGTAAAATGCAAAATCTTTATCGTTCGAATACCTATGAACACTTGTAAACATAAATAATTTAGATAACTTATATCAGTACATTATAATAGCGAATGTGTTAAATATCTCATATCATAATTTATAAAACTAAACAAATTTTTTCAATACAATAGTTGGAAGAGGGAATTGAAGACTGAAGAATTCTCAAAGACCATGGGAGGAAAGTTAGAGAAACATGCGACGCAACGATACCTGATGAAGACAGGACGGGGTCCAGGAACTCACGAAATACCTCAGTGGCCTAATATCATCTTAGACAAAGCTTGCAAGACCATTAAAAGAGACGTTGGATTTGGAACTGTTTCTCTCTTCGAACCTGCTTGGCCATCGACTACCCCAGGGCCAGGCGAATGATTAATTATCTCCTTTTAGATGAAGCTTTATGGACAAATTTTATTAACTAATTTTTGATTGTTTGTTCAGGATATACAAGAAAATGCCCGTATTACTACATGGACAAAAGAAGACGAGAAGGACAGTCTTCGGTTCCAACTTTTGAATACGATGGCCTGCGGCCTAGATTTTACACTGTTCCTAAGCCTTGGGTGTTGCCTTGCAATTTGTTCGTAATTTTATATTTTATTTAATTTTTGAAATGCGAAGAAGACAGAGTGAGAGACATTATTGAACCAAACGTTGGATGACAAAATGTTAGGATTTCTTGAATGTTTGTCGTTTCACTCTGATTCAAATTCAATCTTTAAATCATGGTAAATCTAGTAAAACAATTTCTTAATATCTTTAGAGACGTTTGAATTTTTATGATTTTCAAGAATAAGGGTATTTTTACTTTATTATTCCCACCCATTATGTAATATAAAACTATTTTTGAAAAAAACGAACTCATTGTAAAGATAAATTAGAATGAGAAAATAGAGATTAGACAGAAATTCTATAAAAATACAAGATATACAAATCTATAAAAGTTCAAAAAAATTCTATAAAAATACAAGATATACAAATCTATCAAAGTTATCCACAGAAATATTCAGTATTTCATAAAGAGAACGAATCTTCATTTTTGTTATTTAAAAATATAAATTTCTATAAATATCTACGACTTATCTGTCTATCAACAATATGGAAATTTGTACCTGATGAATGATTTCCTTTAACGATAGATACGACGTGAAAGATTCAAAATCTCTTGAAGCCTATTTGCAAAAGTGTACTGGGAAAAAGGGACCGTACGACTTGTTCACAGGTTATTTAAGATCAATATTACGCATTTTAAATTTTCTACATCATCAGGTTTGTTTTCAGGGCCGAGGGACGAAAGTACAATCAAAGGCTATTTTGCAACTGTAAAATTGGAAGATCGTGGCGCCTGGCCTACATCATTACCAGGAGAAATGGGCAAACTGTTGCGTAAATCAAATTATTATAAAGGACGTTGGAGCACTTGTCCAAGGTATTTTTATTTAATTTTTATTAACTTTCTTAATTATTCTCAGCTATGAAATTTGAAAAATATTGAAAAGAGAGATGAAATTACATTTCAGCACTATTGAAATGTAATTCTAATTTTTATAGTGACAAACTCAATCCATCGAAAGTGAATTCCTATTAAATTACGAATCATTTTTTGACAAGACAATGACTGTGTTATTTGCATGAGACAATTTTTAATGTTATTAGAAACTACTTTCTAAAAATATCGAAGAATGAAAAAGAGTTAAATTTCTGTTTAGAATAATTCTAATTTTTACAATAACCGGAAGGCGAATAACGATCTTTTGGTAGATTTGCAAAAGTGTCAGGCAGCAGAATGATGTTGAAGAATATAGCAATATGTTACAAAGATCCGAAGGAACCAGGACCTGGCCATTATAATCCAAAGACGTTAAGAAAACCGAAAAATATGAAAAATTATCCTTTCGACATAAACGTTGATTTTATCTGGCCATGTCCGTCGTGGGAAATTCACCCTGGTCCAGCAAGATACAAAATCAAAGATACCAAGACTATAAAAGGAAATGGATGGACCTCTGTCTTCAAGAGCAAAGCACCACGAACACATTTTATTATTATTCCTACTTATAACGCTTTCTAATTAAATCTATTAAATAAGAGATTAGATGTGAAGATGGCTCACTTCTTCTTCGTGATTTTCACGTGGTTGATATGTAACTGGGAGCTTCAAAATGGACCCGGTTTCGATTGTTCTTCCAGGAGGCACGAAAAATGGTCCGAATGGATCTAACAGATTCACGTTGATTTTCACGCTTCTGTTTGGGAAAAAGATATTTCCTTTTGAAAATATTCTTGTACAGTACATTATTTCTTAATCGGATAGCTGGTTCATTTGATAAAATCATTTGTAGGTCGTAAATGAAAAATACATTTAATTATTAAATAAAAATATATTTATCTGAATGAAATTCTTATAAATGTACAACTAAATGAATTTCAACTGAACTTCTATTATCTGAATATCAATTGTATGAACACCGTTTCAATTATATGAAATAAAACTATTACGAACAAAGAAAGATACGTATTACATAAGTAGACTTATGTAAAATGTATCATAACTCTTGTTAATAGTTTTTATCAACACTATGGTGCGAAATTATTGTTCCATATACTTATTAACAATGGACTTGTCTAATTAATTATTATATAATTAACAATTGATACATAATATAATTTATATATTTGCTAATTATTATATTATAAATTTTGTATTAGAAACTGGTTAAAGCAACGCTGGATAAGAAATACTGTACTGTTACCTACTTTTTCTAATATTCTTCTAACATTCAATATTTTAATTTCATTTTTAATGTTTGAACATTTGTTTGAAAGAAGGAAGGAAAACCATCATTTTTGAAAAACGTTTTTAATTATTCGTGGTACTCACTGATTGGAAATATTTTTAACGAAGAGAAATTTTCTAGAAGATGTACCAATCGCCGTCGGTCCAAAAGCAATTTCTCGAACCTCGTTCAGTACCAAAATTTCAGGTCTGGTAATAGGACAAATTAACTTTACGAAAAGTAGCTCCTCGTGTTTCCTTTTATTCCTCGTTTCTTCTAAATCGATCGTGCATGTCACGAAAATCGTGGAAATACAAGGCTCGAAACTTTCCAGTAAACTAATTTCGCCAGCTAATTTGTCGACATCGGAGACCTTGCCCTCTTCTTCTTTTTCTTTCTTCCCTTTCTTCTTTTTTGCTTCTGGAAAAGTGTTACAATTAATTTTTGCAATTTTATTTTCAACACGAAAGTTACACTCGATTACAGCGTTGATGAAAATACCATTCTTCGTTGGTTTATTGACTTTCTCGTTCTTCGTTTCTCGTTTCTCCTCATCGTTCATTTTCAGTCTAAGACCCTCTTCGAAAATCACACTTTTCGGTAATCTTGGTTTAAACATAAAATTGACCTCGATAAGTTCATTATTGTTTAAAACACCAGACTGTGGCATAATCTTGATTCTATCGGAAGAGCTCTTAAACTGATAACGAGCTGTAAATTCTTTACGTTGATTTTTTATCATTCCGCAGGTGCAATGTGGGTAGGAAGCCATGTTGTATCCTCTCAGATGCACTGAAGCCTGAAATTCGTTCGTTCTTAGGAATTTATTTATCTAGAAAAATATAATTCTTTGCTTTACCATTGAAAACGAACCACAAGCGGTCGGATGAAATTCTATAATTTGCTCACTCAGCTCGCAGAAAGTGTCTATAATGTACGTATGGATTTCCAGGGAGTTTTTCTCCTTTCTTCTATCCACATGATCAGAATTTTCTATCGAAACATGCTTGTCTATTGGAATTAAAAATGAATAGATTTTGGGTTTCTATGGAAATTCATATTTATAAAAATATGATTTAAAAAATGGAACTTTGGCAAAGAATTGTGTTATATAACAAATTATAATATTATATTCAAATTGTAATTGTATTAGACTATAATAATTACAATGCAATTGTATTGTAATAAATATTAAATATTGTAATAGTTACAATGCAATTGTATTGTAATAAATATACAATTTGAATATTTTATATGTCTTTTATATATCAGATATATGCATTTTATGCAATCTCATACTTTAAAATTTCCTATGAATGCATTATCAATAGCCAGTAGTATCAAGCTTAATTATTGTATAAATATTGTGTAGATTTGTACATGATAATTTGTACCTATAATTTCAAAAATTATTACTTAAAAAGAAATCCAAGAATCTATTATAGTTATATTTTTTATAGAATATTTTCGCATATTATATGCATTTCTGCATTCTCAAATTTTCTATAAATGCAGCTACGGTGTACAAATATTTTTAGAATAATCTTTTACCATTTTCATCCCCCCGATTTATCACGGTGTCATTATTTAACTGCATTTCAAGATCATCCTCGTTCTTATCAATCGTTCGACGTAATACTTTAGGTCTTTTGATATTCACAGGGATTGGATATGGAAATCCGCGACTCCTCGGTATTATCGACTGCGTATTTATCTCATCCTTCAATTTGTTCAATATTGTTTGACTCTTGTCCCCAGCTAGCTCTGCCAAAGTGACCACTTGTACTTGAAAGCTGTTGAAAGATCTTTCGTTGATCATTGAATATAATAAAATTATTCCAATTAAGAACCAAATAGTAATCTATCATATTATTATAAATAATTCAATTTTTTGAAATTTCATAAAATAGGAGATAAAACGATGAAAAATTATTAATGAATATTCGCAGCTCCAATATTAATAAATAGAATTTAACTTTCCAGTGATATCATCGAGTTGTCGTAGAACTGTTTTAGATTCTGCTAATTTTAATTTCATTGCTTTCTCACGTCGCTCGTTTCTGCCACAGAGAACATAAAATGCAAAAGAAAATTGAATGTTCTAAATTTTAATAAAATTTTGTATAATTATTATATTTTGATATTCAACGATAGTACTTGCGGATTAATAATATAGATTGATTTAAAATAATGAATTACGTTGGTTCTTAATAAATTAATTTATTTTTATTCTAACAATAGAGTAACAATAATAATCATTATGCAACCTTCGTTCACCATTCAATCCATTTGCTCTAATTTCATTGCCGGGAATGTCTGTCAAACATGGAGAGTAAATTAGATGAAGTTTGATAGTTTCTCCAGGAAGAATGGCACCAAAACCATGATTTGGCTGTATTTCCATAGATGACGATAGATCTATAAATGCGTATTCTTGAATTAGTAGAGACTCGTTAGTCAGTGTTAATTCTGCATAGACGGATTCGTGTGTATGGACGTGTCCCAGCTCGACGTATCCTGGTTCTATAAAATAAATAACACAAGAAAAACTTAAATGAAAGGAAAGGAAATCTAAGATTTTTTAAATCTACCCTTCAGCGTTTCTTGTTAATTTCAATTCTTTAAATTCATTTTAAGTTGTCTCTCTCGTTGAAATAAATTTTAATTTGTTTAAGTTTTCTTCTATTCGTTTTAATCATTTTATATTGATTGATTTCGACGTCTTCAGCCTTAATTTTCGCGTCAGTATTAATTTCTTTTAAATTCCATTCTGTTAATTTTAATTTCATCGATTTGTTTAAAGTTCTCTTTATTCAATTCTAATTTCATTGATTTATTTCGAGACATTTTTCGACGAGATCTTTATTTTTTTTTTTTTTTTTTTTTTTTTAATTTATTTTTTTTTTTTTTTTTTTATTCGACAGTAGAGTATTTGTATGAAGTTGAGAAATTTGAGAAACTGTTGCGATAAAAATTTTTATTAATCTTTCTTAATCGCAAATCGGAAAAGACCAGCTATAGGTTATAACTGTTGATCTTTTAGAAATTTAAAGCTAAGTTCGAAAAATTAAAATTTGCTTAAAAAGAAATTTTTTTATGCCCTCGTCGAAATGTTATCAGAAAATTCAGAAAAGCTTCTATAGTGGAATATTTAGACGATAAGAAATTATTGTAATAAAAAGTCATTTTCAATAGACAATTACTGTTACAGGTTACAACTGTTAATTTCTTGGAAATTTAAGGTTAGGTTTTCGTTTGAAAATCAAAGTTTACTTAAAAAGAAAAAAATATTCTAGACCCTTCGGTAGAATATTTACACAAAAAGAAATTACTGTAATAAAAAATCTTTCTTAATAGCCATAGGTTATAACTGTTAAACTCTCAGAACTTTGAGGTTAGGTTTTTGTTTGAAAAAAATCAAAGTTTGTTTAAAAAGAATTCTAGACAAAATGTCAGCAGGAATTTCAAGAAAGATTCGACAGTGGAACATTTACACGATAAGAAATTACTGTAATAAAAAATCTTTCTTAATAGGTTACAATTGTTAACCTCTCAGAAATTTAAGGTTAGGATTCTGTTGGAAAAATCAAAGTTTGTTTAAAAAGAATTCTAGACAATGTCAGAAGGAAATTCAAAGAAAATGATTCGATCACACTTTTCAGCGGTGGTACTTAAGCGATGCGAATTATCGTAGCGAAAGGGTCAATGCTGTCTTTGCCGACGTCAATCGTCTAAAGGGTATGAAAACTTTGTCTCTTCGTCGTCTTGTTTCGATACGTTTTCAAGGGACGACCGGGACCCCTCACTGCCGTGTTTCTCCGTTGTTTGTCACGTCCTCGCGGAACGGCCCTAAAGAAATCTCCGAGCGCTTCCTCGCCAGTGGAAACTGTTGTTCTTCGCGCGATCCCGTCTCCCGCGGGAGTACCACGATCGTACCGTACCGAATCGTCTGGAATCGTCCTTTCGAGTCTTCTCTTTCGTCGCCGGATCCTCACCGGAGCGGGAACGGAACTTGCAAAAGAAGAACGACGGTCACCTTGCAAAGGGGATTAAAATTCAGCAGCCGATTCACGGGAAACGTTGGTCCGGCCACCGGGGAACGAGGACGAGGAGGGCAGATCGGTTGCCGACAGATCGGCTCCTTTCAACGACCTTTCAGGAACAGCGCAGCGCGCGTACCGAGAGCGCTCGATTCGTAGCCTCCGCTCGGCTGAGGCAAATGGAACGCGGCACAGGGCTTTTCCTGTAGGATCGATAGAGTAGTGGGGGGAGCGAGAGCAAGAGGCACGCACGGGACGAGCGGGACGAGAAGGTGGCGAGGTGGCGGTTGGAGAGAGAAGGACACCCTGGTGAACGGGAAGAGGGCTGAAAGTGGGAAAGAACGAGCGAGCGAGAGAGGGATGAGAGCACGAGAGGAACGTAGAAGAGAACAGGTTGGGAGGAGGAGGAGGAGGAGGAGGAGCAGGAGGAGGGAATATTGGTGGAGAATCGGGCGAGATGAGGGCGCTTCGGCCGGCGGTTTCTACGTCGCGCCATCGTTGCTACGAGCGGCGTCGGCGTCGGCGTCGGCGTCGTCGTCGTGGCCGTCCTCGTTGCCGGCGAAAGCGGCATCAGAGCAAACACGCAGCTGCCAAAGCTCCGCAGACTCCGCCGCTCGGTCTAGTTTGCCTTCCGCTCTCGTTTGGCATAGTACCGTCGACGAGGCCGTCGCGCATCCACGCTGTCCGTCGTCGACGCGATCGCGTTGACCCGTAATCCCACGTATATATTCTCTCTGTCGCGCTGTACGTCGTTCTCGTTCTCGTTCTCGTTCTCGTTCTCGTTCTCGTTCTCGTTCACGGTCTCAGCGAACCACCCCGAAATCCAGCCGAACAGATGGATAGCTCGCGTGGAAGCAACGCGACTCGAAGACAGTCTCGCGCTGGTGGATAGTCGCGCGAAGGGAAGTTGTTATCGTTCGCGACGAGGGTGACATCCCGTTTCCAACTTGTTCCCACCTCGTGCTCGCTCGTACTCCACGCAAGAGGAACAGTGGCCCGCGTCACCTGCCGCAGAGTCCTCGCTCGCACGTCGGTGGTTCCTGGTCAACGTGGTTCACAAAGGTACAGGAATTCATTTTTCAACAGGTCTTCGACTGTCCGTGTGACGTGATCGCGATCGTTCGCTCTCGCAAAAGAGGAACCAAGTTCCTAGTCTCGTTGTTTTCGCACGAGAGTCGTCGCAAAAATATTCGAAAGACTCGCGAACGTATCGACAAAGCGAAGGCTCCCCTTCCCGCGGTGCGTCGCGGTTGCGAATTAGCTTCCTGTCCTACATAGCGTTGCCTTAATTTTCGCGAAACTCGAGAGTTTGCTCGTCACAAGTTTCCGTGTCTCTCGGTATCCGAGAGTTCCGAGGTTTCCAACAGTGTCTTGGAAATCAAAAGATACTAACAAAGAGAGAGAGAGAGAGAGAGAGAGAGAGAGAGAGAGAGAGAGAGAGAGAGAGAGTGATGCGAAATAGATCGTGTGTTTCTTTTTCTTTTCTCCCGCCCTGGTGGCTTGTTATTCGATATTCGAGAAGTCAGGCGAAACGTCATCAACGTTGATACAACCTTCCGACGTGTTTCATTAAAAGCTTCCTACGCTCGACGTGTGCAGAAGAAGAAAGCTGTCAGAGGCAAACTCTATTTGTATCCCACTGTGAGTAAATCGAACGCGGGGAACGTGATGGATGGCACGGTGCTATTAATCGAACGTTGATACACTGATTTGACGTTGTTCGAACAATCTACGTGACGCACGATATATTTAACCAGCTTTTAATTGTCCCCCCCGGGAAGAAAAGGAGACATCGACTCGGTTTCATACGATTTTTCTACAATGTCGTTTCCTCTGACACGCGACACTGAATAAATCAGACTTTGTGCCTTTGCGAAAAGCAAACGGAAGCGTGGAAGCGGATTTTATTCTCGACGAACGACTCTAGCTCGGCCGATGAAACGCGCGGCTTCGGACAGACGTGGAATAAAAAAACTTTCTCGCTTTTTTCCCCGTGTTTTTTTTTTTTTTTTTTTTGTCCCGATACACGCACACCGACCAATCACCGTGCACGCTGAATTTACACGATCGTTTTGCATTTCAATGAATATTAATTGGACGCAATTATTAAACGTAAATTGGAGCTGGAACAACTGTTGTTTCAACAAGCGCGGAATTTCTCAACCGTCGATTCTCCTCGTACATTCGTTTCCGCGTGCAAGCTCGTTTTCGAAATCCGTTCGCTCACGCTCCGCCAACTACTTTCGAAGCTACTCCGGCGACTCTCGCAGGGATTTTCTAGATCGGAGGGAATACACGAGGCTGTCTCGCAGGGAACATACACACTCGCAGCTATTCTTTACGGCTGAACTTTCCCTTAACCGAGAGAAACTCTTCCCTTTTTACCTCCTGCCGCTAATTGAAGAAAAATTCAGTAGAACATGGCGCGGTCGTTGTGCAGTTTGAAAATTTTTTGCAAGAACCAACATTCGGAATAGTCGATCAACGCGCTCGTTCGCTCGTGACGTCTCTGTCACGATCCAATTTTCCAATCAACAAGTGCCAATCCGACGGTTGATCGACGAAAATTTTTGCCCGGGTTATTATTCCCGGGACTTATTCTCTCGACGTCGCCGGCGATACGCGTAATCAGCAGAATGTTTCGCGTTACAAAATCAACGAATACGTCGATTGGAAAAGGTAACACGATGGCACAACCTTTATCGAGTTATTCGACGGAGAGGTTCACGCATCGTCCGAGTTAACGCGCGAATATTTTTAACGCGAAATATCTCGCAGTTTATTCGATAAGAGGATATCTCGCCTGCACGAGCCTGTTATTATTCGAATGCCGCGTGCCGATAATACGGCGACCGACTGCAAGAAATTACTTTGAAGCGTCGAGGATCTATTTTCAATTTGTCGAACATCAGCTTCCGACTCTGAAGTTTAGCCCCGATACTCGAAGAATATCGGTCGATTACCCGCACCTGTCGTCTCCTGTTCGAACGACGTTTTAAAGCCGACTCGCAATTTCAATACATAATTTACGGCGGAGTTCAATGCGGCTTATCATCGCAGCTGGTGCATTAACCAACCGATCGGATTAATCAGCCGGTATCACGGATAAACGGACGACGACGACGATGATGATGATGATGATGATGATGATGATGATGATGATGATGATGACGACGACGACGATGATATTCAATTACGAATTCCCGCGCGCGCGTTATTCGAACGAGAGTTACTCGCCGATCAAATCGTTGGGAATAGTAAAGTGACTGGCTGAAAAGAGAGACAGGAGGAGGACGAGAACTTCAACGATGAAATGTCGCCGGGCGATAACTTCGACAATGACGAGTCGCCGTTCAGAGGTTTAGAGTTTTAGAGGGGTCTGCGTGGGGAAACTGTGAAGTGCGTATCGATCGAATCGAGCGATGTTCAACTTTCAATCTCGCCGCCGTCCACGCGAAGAGGACCGCAACAATTTCGATGGCA